TCCCACTGCGGCACCAGCAACAGCTTGCGAGGAGGGGAATTCCCCGGGCCATCCCAACAGGTTTCTTGGAATTCTTACGTGGTTCTTCAATTAGGCTTGGTGGGGCTCTCGTGGTCAAGTGGTCTAGAGGTTACGGTGTTCGCCTCTCATTCAATAGGTCTCGGGTTCGCGAAACCAAACAGCGACAGAGCATTTTGTTCTCTAAAATCTTCTTCTTTCAACTTCTTTCCTGCTCTCTAACCATATTCTTATGTCTGCTTTCGTCTCCACTCTCTCCCACTTCTAACATTTTTTGTCCTATGCTTTAAAAAAAAACAACAACACCTCCCCCCTTTAAAAAAACAAACAACCTTGTACCCTGCATTGTTATCAACAACATCACGAAGTTTTGACTTAACAGGATAATAATTTTGCAAACAACAGGCCTTTGAAATAAGCCTTTTTTATGTAACAAGCAAACATTGTTCACTGAAAAGCCATTTTCACACTAATGTATGGGTTCACAGAATCGGAATTTTAAGGCCGAGGATTTCTTTAGTCTTTGTGTGCCTCAACATTGTCCTTGACTTCAAGAAAGCATAACAAATGAGTAGCCTATGTTCATTGTCATTGCGTGATTGTGTGACTCTTCGAAGTACTGCTCTTTTGCTCATTTTGCATACTGAGTGAAATTCTCCAACCTTTTTAACTTTTATATAATCCGATTTTAATGATTTAAAAGGTGAATTTCTTCGTTTCTGCAGCTTTTTCTGATTCAATAAAGAAGATAACTTTCAGACAATTTGAATTGTTTCTTTGTGGTACCGTGCCTTTTTTTTGTGTGTGTGTAGATCTTGAGACTCTAGATTGGATCAGAGAAAACGGCATCAAGGTTGACCACTCTTTGCTCGCCACAAGTCATAAACCCATCTAGGGATTAGGTCATTGACAATTCACCTGCGCGGGCGGTTGGTGACATCATTGCAGGCCGTACTCTGTTCTTTCCCTATGTATTGCTCCTATCTGTCTGTCTTGGTTCTTCCTTGCACAAAATATGACCGTTTTTATCATACATTTTGTACTTGTGACAGTTGATAGTGACGCTGGGTCAACTTGAAATCTAAATTACATTTATTTGCTTTCAAAATAGCTACTGTTGATAAACATAATATTGGAAGAAAAACTTGCATATTGTATCTCTTATAACTTATTCTATCCATTTCTCAAATTAAATGCGACCGTCGAGAATTAGGAGGCTTGAAAATGAAACTGAAACTAAAACAGTCTACTCTGACACAATATCAAGAATTGTCGAAGTCCAGCCAATCGAAGTCGCATACGTAAGCAGTCGAGGGGGATCATGGGACGAGTCTCGTGATTTCGTGGAGACGAATTTAGGCATAGCTCGCTATAATAGTATACAGTAGACTTCAGTTCAGCCTGCCGCTCAGCGTTTCTCGGTGAATCGAAGCTGATAGTCAGTCAGTAGTCATCGTTTAGCAGTTTTCTTCTTTTTCCAACGTGCAAACTCCGTTGCGGTCATGTCTGTTTTCGGTGGAAAGGCTTTGTTCTTCACGGTCCTTCTGATCGGGTTTGCAGTTCAACCTGTGACTGTCAACGCCCAACTAGCGGAGGCAGCTGGGGCTGTGCTTGGCGGTGCTGCTGTTCTTGTGGGAGCACCCATAGCGTTGGGTGCTATGGGATTTGGCGCAGGTACTGTTTATTGATTTGTTTATTAGTTTCATTTCTTTGTTTTGTTTGAGTAAAGAAAAAGCGCGTGGACATAATAACGGTCATATTTTGTGCAAGGAAAAACCCCCACGACAGACAGACAGGATCAATACATAGGGAAAGAACAGTAGGGCCTGCAGTGAGGTCTCCAACCACTCGCGAAGGTAAAGTGTCAAGGTAGGTCTAGATCTAGTACTTTGAACAAGACCACTCTCTTAACTGTAATTTGCAGATATCGTCGAGGGGGCTCTTGTGGTCTAGAGGTTAAGGTGTTCGCCTCCCATTCAATAGGTCTCGGGTTCGAATCCGGATAGCGACAGAAAATTTACGTCGCTTAAGTTTTCTCTTTCACGTCCTTTCTCGCTCTCTATCAATGTTCTGTCATCTGCTTTCGTCTCCACTTTCTGCCTCCACCCCTCACCCCCTTTTCCCCCCTCCTCTGGGCTCCTGACTCTTTCTGCAGGCTTTCTACTGCTACGCCTTGCCTTCTTCTTACTGCTGTCTTTCAGCTACACCTCTTATCTTATGGTAGGAAAGATCTAAACCTAGCCTTTTTGGATAAGGGCGAAAAATCGCAGAGGTCCCGTGTGCAAGTTGCGCACGTTAAAGATCACTTGGTGGTCCAAAATCGATAAGAGTGGGCTTCGGTCGTCACTCGGGCAAAAAATCCAAATTCCCTACTAACTCAAAATGTTAATGTGTCCTGAACGATCATTTGACCTTATGTAGTTGCGTGCGCCGTAAAACACTTACCCCCCCCCCACAAAAAAAAAAGGAAACAAAGAAAAAAATCGTCGTCTTCACCGGGGCCGATTCCAAATAGGCTACGGTGCAAGTATTTTATTTAGATCTAATTAATTCTCTCAAAAACAAAATGTGTTTTTTTGTACGGAGCAGTCTCTGCCCCTATCCTTTGCATTCTTGATGCTTGCTCTCTATAATATTGTACCGACGTCTGTGGTGTAGCCAAAAGCGTCTGGTGGGTTGTGAAGAGGGTGGGACTTGCTGTGACCAGACTTTGAGATCACTCAGATTAAAAGGGTGGATAACAACTGAAAAGACAGTGAAACACGCATATTAAAAAAAGTACAGCAGGGAAATTTTTAATGCAGATTCAGAAGTATTATAATCCTGTTAGTGGCAATATGTACTGCGTTTGAAACCAGGAAACTGGTCTCACCGATGCATTTTTATAACATGTACATTCTTTTTTGCCCTGCGGTTTTTATGTTGAGCGAACGTGCCAGTGACGTTTTTGGTGAACGGTGCATCCTTCATGAGGATCCATTCATTATTAAAATAATCCACAACAGGATGCGAAAATTCTGCTGTTTTACGTGGTTCCAGTCTCTGAAACTTTTAATTATAAGAAATAAAATCACTTCTTGTTTTCTTTTTAGGTCATACTATTTATGTAGGATAATGCGATTAGCTAAGAATTAATTACTACAATAACTGATTCACTGCAGCAGCACATTTAAGGCTTTGAATCTTGTCTGAGCGAGTTCAATTCACCTCCACCCCTTTAAAAAGAGATAAATAGATAAATTAATACCACCCACCCCCCTCGAGTTTGACAAGAAATAAAGAAGGAAAAGGTCAGATGTTAATATTTAACTAATGAGCTTTTTAATTTGGAAATACAAGAACCAGAACATAATTGTGTAAACCTATGCAATTTAGAATAAGTTAATAAAAACCTCAAACTTCACCGGACTCAGTTGTAGGCGCCGCTGTCCTATCCTCAAACGACACTCAACAGAGGAGCCTTCACCCAGAGGCCTCCATGTTTCCTGCAGAGGCATAACTCTAGACTCGGTAGAAAGCTCTTCAAAAGTATCTTTTCAACTTGTGTCGGATTCCTTGTCTTGTCTCACGCCACCTACCTACTTCACATTCTTAAACTCTATCATTGTTAACCTTCAGTTTTAAGAATTTACTTCTTGAATGAACAGGAAAAGCATTGTGTGTACCTCGCTACCTAACCATGTACCGTAGGCCCCACTTATAACAGAGATGGTTATACATGTAACAGGATTTCGGTTATGCTAGTAGCAGGCTTATTATAACTGAAGCAAAAAATAGTAATACTCTTTTTCTCGGACCCCCCCCCCCCTCTTTTTTTGACTGAAATCGCTCCAGCCGGAATTGGAGCTGGAAGTCTCGCAGCTAAAGCGATGTCTGTGGCGTGGGCCAGTGGAAAAGGTGTCGCTGTCGTCTCAGCGCTGCAGTCAGCTGGAGCAGCTGGATTAGGAGCGGGAACTGTTGTGGCTGGGGCGGCATTGGGTGCTGGAGCAGGCCATGCTACTAAGCACGTCCGTGATGATGATGAGTGAGGATGAGCATGAAGAGGATCTGTGGGGAGAGGTGACCATGGAGAGGACCTGTGAGATGAGAGACGTTTTGCTAAAGCTTCCACCATGCCGTCGATCGCCTCGAATTTGTTATGTCTTTTCTGTCTTGTGTAGAGGGAAGGTTTAATTCGGGTGTAGTCCAGGTGTAATTCGTTTAATGTATTTTGTTATAATCGTCGTTTTGTGCTTTATTTTACTGACTTTGTGCTTGAGGTACAGCTTCCTTTAGACGCACGCGAGCGCGCGCGCACGCACACACACACACATACACACACACACACACACACACACACACACACACACACACACACACACACACACACACACACACACACAGAGAAACGCAACCACACAAGCTTTAACTCATGCTCATTATTAATTTCTGTAAGACAGTAATCCCCATCCCTGTTTTTTTTCCTTTATGCAAAGTCACAAGTTGTCCAGTTTGAGTTTGTTGTAGACAAAAACTTTTCTGTTCGTCCATGTTTGATTACATGGACACAATAGAGAGGCGATGTCTACAAATCTACGCAAACCAAGCATTTGTTCAACATTTGTTAATTTTGTATTTGACTACAGTAATTGCAGAATTTTTAAATCAAGGGGCTTTCTCGTTAACCCTTTCACTGCATCTCCCCATGTTGTAGAAACGCTTTGATAAAGTAATATTTAAAGCAGTTTTGGCAGTGGGCATGATTAAAAATGTCCTTTAGGAAGTCACCACCCTTAGAGCACCCTACCACCCCGCCCCTTTCTTTATCCAGCATTCACGTGCATACCCATCATACTCCTACACTCGAAAGCACAAAGACACACGATCTCTCTCTCTCTCTCTCTCTCTCTCTCTCTCTCTCTCTCTCTCTCTCTCTCACACACACACACAGAAACGCAACCACACACGATTTAACTCATGCCCATTATTTATTTCTGTAAAACAGTAATCCCCTTCCCTGTTTTTTTCCCTTTATGCGAAGTCACAAGTTGTCCAGTTTCAGTTTGCTATAGACAAAAACTTTTCTGTTCGTCCATGTTTGATTACATGGACACAATAGAGAGGCGATGTCTACAAATCTACGCAAACCATGCATTTGTTCAACTTTAGTTAATTTTGTATTTGACTACAGTAGTTGCAGAATTTTAAAATCAAAGGGTTTTCTCGTTAACCCTTTCACTGCATCGCCCAATGTTGTAGAAACTCTTGATAAAGTAATATTTAAGCAGCTTTCACAGTGATCAAGACAGAAATTTCATTTTTTTGGGGGTGGGCCCCATAACGTTGCTTTTGGGACTTTTTGTTTTTGTTTTGAAGCACCATTCTAAAGTTAACTTTTCCATTGGTTTGTTAGTCTGACAAGGGCCATCAATAGAAAAATAAAACACACAACTTGTACACGTTTCATAAGCATAGATCTAGAATTGGCAAGATCTAAATGATATTAAATGTTGGAAGTCGCTTTCAGATGTGTTTTGTGTTATACTTTTGTACTTGTATTAAATCTACATGTAGTTCTTAAAAGTTTAATGGATTTTTAAAATGTATTATCCATGTTTGTTTTGCCAGGGCCAACTTTGGCTGAGTGGGATGCAACGTCCCAGCTGGCAGATGGAGATATAGGTCTACTAGATGCAACGTCCCAGCTGGCAGATGGAGATATAGGTCTACTAGATGCAACGTCCCAGCTGGCAGATGGAGATATAGGTCTACTAGATGTAACGTCCCAGCTGGCAGATGGAGATATAGGTCTACTAGATGTAACGTCCCAGCTGGCAGATGGAAATATAGGTCTACTAGATGCAACGTCCCAGCTGGCAGATGGAAATATAGGTCTACTAGATGTAACGTCCCAGCTGGCAGATGGAAATATAGGTCTACTAGATGTAACGCCTCCTCACAAGGGATCGAACTCACACTTTCTGTGTACGACAGCGAAGATCCTCTATATAATGACATTAACATATACATTGGCATGTGGCTTATAGGGAAGAAACAATTATGGGTGACCTTCTCTGTGTATGTAGCCTAAACACTGTCTTTATTTAGTCAAGCCTTATTTCGGATACACTCGCTGACAAAACCAAACGCCCCTCCCTCTGTCTGAACCTGCAAGACTTCTGTTAGGTTGCAACTATGTAATCTTGATGTCTATGTATACATTAATTTTCTTTGTCTTAGCCTCATAGCGACACTGTCACTGTCCCCGAATAGAAGCTACATTCTAAGCCCAATACGTGTAAATGCCGGATGTGTTCAATTGAAACGAATGAAAGTCTCAGCAGATTACATAGAATCTTGACCAATCACACTAATGCTATCCTGATCTCTCTCTCTCTCTCTCTCTCTCTCTCTCTCTCTCTCTCTCTCTCTCTCTCTCTCTCTCTCTCTCTCTCTCTCCTCTACTTCTCCTCCTCTCTCGATCTCTGTGTGCGAGTGTGTGTGCGTGTGTGTGTGTATGTATGTATGTGTGTGTGTGTGTGTGTGTGTGTGTGTGTGTGTGTGTGTGTGTGTGTGTGTGTGTGTGTGTGTGTGTGTGTGTGTGTGTGTGACAACTCCCTGCATCTGAAATTAGCATATCTGCAGAAGAATCTGGCGCAAATGAAATAAACTAGAACATGCACACGTGGTATTTGGATGGAAACCTTTAGAAGGCCAACAAAATGTGTTCTTTTTTCTAAATGTTAGCCCATTATGCGAGGCATCGTGGTTAAATCGGAAGCTCGTTAAAAATAATGAAAATTGATCGATATTCTTGTTTTGGGCTCAACTTCTTTCGTCATACTTTCATGTCCACTTTAAAACACACCCATGCAAGGATTTGTCTGAAAACGTCAATCAAAGACAAGCAGAATGTAAATTTGTAGTTTTTATGGACACCACAGCTTTAATTTTGGAAGTCACCAAACTTTCGTGGCCATTTTCTTGCTAATTTTATTTCTGGCTCCAGGTGACCCCCAACATCCTTCAATATTTTAATATCCTCGACTTCTACTCAAAATAGACGTTTATTTTTTCGTCACATGCAAGGCAAATGAACAGGCTTTTAAGATTGTACCAGTAACATCATAATATGCCTAAAAACTGACGAAGAGCGCCTGCATAATTCCACCGCGTCGTGACATTAATATCATGGCCATTGCAAGTTAATGAACACCATGCTAGAAAACTCCAGCACTTCCATAGGAACTGACTGGGGGAGCCGCCTGCGTTAACGTAAAACCAAAGACAAAGGCCCTAGCTCTTGCTGCCATAACTGGTGTATTTTTGTTACGCATAGAGCCAAAAAAACTCACAAACCCAGCCCCCCCCCCAAAAAAAAACCCCAAACACACACACACACACACACACACACACACACACACACACACACACACTCAAACAAACACACAAAACAACCAGAGTAAAGGCCTCCAAAACAAAACAGAACAAAACAAAAGCAAAACATTTATTCGGCTAAACAGCATTAGCAGGGACGGTTTGTTATCTGGGCAAGACCGGCGGTGCCGGTCAAAGTTTTGTCAGCTGGACTGTTGACAAGGGATTTATTGCTGATGATGATTTTCATTCAATTTTAAGTAAATCCGAATAAACATGTATCAATATTCAAAAAGCACCTTGCCGATTTGAAGGCGTTCAAATAGACAAGTGGGATTCACTGCTGTTTTGTCGCGACAGAGCCTCTTTCCGTCACCTTTGTTTATCGCACCGACCCGTAACTTTGAATAGTCTCCCGTCAAGCCGTCACGTCGCGGAACTTCGTACGAGGACAAACGTGGACAAAACCATCGACTGCCCTGAGACTACAAAAAGCGAATATAAACATCCCTAGATTGCCAAGTTGGCCTCCGTGTTGTTTACAAAATCGGTAATGAGACTGTCTTGAGTCTTGAGCACCACAGACACATGAAATATTTCATCAGCAATACATGTACTTATCATTCAGCCTTTCTCTATCATCAAAACATTTATTGTCAGCATGACACTAATCTTTTTTGTTTATTGAATTTTTAGCCACCTTTGGTTCCTGTTTGATGACTATTCATCGCTTTCTCCCCACTAATAACGTACCTGGCCCATATGAGTCTAGCCGACAAAGAGAGGAATCGTCTAGTGAAGATATATAAGGAGAATTATAACGAGCAGGGCTGTCAGTCTGGACCGAAAACAAAGGGCCTACCCCCTCCCTTCTCTCCCCTTATCCACCGTCACCTCAGCTAGACACCAAGTTCTATAATTAACATTTGACACACTTCCCCACTTTGTTACAACAGTGTTCTTAGTTCTT